AGAGGAGCACAGGAGGTCAGGCTCCAGCCCTGAACCCTGCTCCTCCTCCAGGTCCGGCACTCATCGCACTCTTGAAATTAGTTGTAAGTGAAGGGTTAATGCAAACCGTAAATATTCAGTAAAGGGATTTACAGGCAGGCATTAATGAATCCTGGCAGAGCTCTAGTCCCAGATTCTCACCACCTATCTAATCCTCAGAGGGCGTCCCACCCTGCTCACTCATTATTTCCTTGAACAGGACCTACAGAAAACTAGAGCTCGTTTTCTAACTATCGGCCACTTCCAGAGGGCTGAGAGAAGATCCTATCCTCACACACTGCGCTCAGGCAAATTGACGCTTTTGTTTACAATGGATTGCTTGTAAAGGGGATTTTTTAAAGGAGTTTCTTCAGGAAACCAATTTATTTTGCTCTTTTTCTTGAAAGTTTCTGCTTTGGGAGTATATAAGGATACAAACAGAAGAGAATTTTCGAACATGGCAGGCGCAGAAGGATGTCGTCAAATCATCCGATTACAGCGAGCAGGAGCTGAATAAAACTGGCCGGGAATTTTCCAGGAAACTACAAGCGGCTTTTGGGAAGGCGGGGTGGTCCGAGTCGGGAAAGGAGGAGGGACGGAGCAGCCCAGGATTTAGAGAAAGGCTCTTTCCGGGAACGTGTGAAAGTGCAGGCGCCGTGAATCAGCCGCTGCGTCAGCCTGGTCGCCTTGCTCAGGGCACAAACCACCGCCAGGGGCTCGCAGCCGTGTGTGAGGAGGGGCAGGCAGGGCGCCGTCTGTGCTCCCAGAGAAGCTACATGCTGACTTAAGAACATGAGCACTGGGGCCCCGAGTTCAATTCTGGCCCTGGGGTGCTGTCTGTGAGGAGTCTGCGTGTTCTCCCTGTGTTCACATGGGTTTCCTCCCAGGTGCTCATGTTTCCTCCCCCAGGTCCAAAGACATGCTGGTGGGTTAAATGTCTTCGGTGAAATCTGTCCCTGGTGTGTGTGTGTGTGTGGTGTGATGGGACTGGCGGCCTGTCCAGGGCGTTTCCTGCCTTGTGCCTGTTGCTTGCTGGGATAGGCTCTGGCTCCCCTGAATTGGTAGAAACGGTTTGAAAACAGATGAATGGGAGACAAACGAGAGGAGCTAGCTATCGCGCCCATCTGGCCTGTGTGGTAGATCTTATCCTTAAGATCTTATGGCCTGGGGATCTTATCCAGCTGCTTCTTGAAAGAATCCGGGGTACCGGCTCCGACAGGATGGCCAGGTAGCTCGTTCCAGACTCCCACAACTCTCTGTGCCAAGAAGTGCCGCTGATTTGCGGTCTGATGTGGGACCACTTGTGGTCTCCATCCACTTGCCATCTCATGCCACACATCGCATCCGCATTTCTTACACACCACTCCTTTCTTCAGAGGAAGTAGAACCGCCAAGATTTTTTTTTGTTGTTGTGACCACATTTGCCATCACCAGCTGAGTGTGTTCTTCATATCAGAGATTCACACTTCCTCCCGCTGGGGATAAAAACACATAACAGGCCCACTAAAGCTTAACACCCACGGAAGACATCAGAAAAGTCCCCCATCTGATAAATAGAGTCCAGGATAGAGCCCACATCACACCTGGTACACGCACACTTTCCAGGTACTGGCTTCCACACCAGCAGGAAGTGCATAATAATACTAGAATATAATAGTAACTGTCTGAAGTTCAATTCCTGGTCTTTACTGCAGTGCTGTCTCTCCAAGGCCTCAACTGCCTTATTCTGGTCTCTGTCCCAGACGAGGTCTGAGAGATGAGATCACTTGGATGACATCGTCACTCCAATCACGTGGTGAATCTGCTCACTCGAGAGCTCACGAGAGCTCAGTGGGAAAGGAAAGCGGAAGGGACCGCGAGCCCTGAGGAGCCCAGAGCCTTCTGGGGAATGGTGCCGACCGAGACTCTCTGCAGCGCCGGGTGACCAACAGATCCACACCTCTCCAAGAACAGACGCTTCCGATCCAGGGCTTTCCTAAAGCGCTGGGCAGCATGAACGTGGACAGGAGCGGCGTCTGCCCTCCACCCCGCAGAGCAGCCCACAGCGACCAGCCAACTGCACTGTCCAGTCTGTACCTGCCTGCTGGACAAGGCACTGCTGTGCCACTGAAAGACCCTGGTGCTCAGTATCATTACCCCACGACCTCCTTCTACATCATCAGAATAATAATAATAATAAATAATAAATTAGCAGTAGTAATAATATCTAAATATATAATACTATTACCGATATCATGATTTATAATAATACTTATTCTTAATAAAATATTCATATCATTGATATATTATTTATTTCTATGGTTTATATATTTAGATATTATGACTATGATATTCTTCTTCTTCATAATAATAATAATAATATTACAGCAGATACTGATGCTACTACACTATCACATTGCTGTGACTGGAAGGGGGGTATCTGTGGGTGAGGAGGAAGTAAACAAGGAGGACAACAGATGATCAAAGGGCATTCTGATTATTTGCTCTGGTTAATTAACTGCATGGTAAATCATTAAGACTGCCAAGAACAAACATTCAACAGTTCCCTCCCCCTTTATTAGTCTGGCTTCCATTGGAAAGAGATGACGGAAGCAAAGAAGGGATATCATCATCATCCTCCTCCTCTTCCGCCCCCTCCTCCGGTTCTGACAAAGCTGAGGCTCGTCTACGTAATCAGGACACCATCATAAAAGAGCCCGCCATCTTTTTTATTAAAGGAAACTCTGAATTCCTTTGTTGTGGAATCCTCCGTCTGGAAGAGTTCTCTCCTAGGTCAGTAGGGCGGAGAGGTGGCTCTGTGGCTAAGGATCTGCGTCTGTGACTAGAAGGTTGCCGGTTCAAATCCCGCGGCCGGCAGAGGAATCCTACTCCGTTGGGATTTAATCCTACGTTGGGATTTAACCCTTAACCCTAACTACTCCAGGGGCGCCGTACAATGCGCTCTGACACCAAGCTTCTCCCTGTCTGTGTGTCTGTGTCTCCATGGAGAAAAGCTGGGGTATGCGAAAAGACAAATTCCTAATGCAAGAAATTGTATAGGGCCAATAAAGAAACATTAACATTAGTAATGCACTGCCCTGTGGGCTTCAGTGCTGTAGAGAGGGAGGAAAAGTCCTGGGTGCGATCTGTTTTTTTTTGACTTGGGGAACAGGTTTCCTCTGCTTGCCCTGTTAAACTGTTATTAGGGTGTGCTAAAGATTACAGGACCAGAATTCTCTCATTTTCTAGGTCTACAGCAAGCAGGACTCTTAACCCACTGTACATATCTGCCTGCATTTAGCTAGTGTATTATTCAGGATTATCAAATATGTATTCTGTTGGGCCATATTATTGCCCTGTCAGCAGCATGGGGCCAGAGAACAAAACAACACTGTTTTAAGTAACAATATCGATAAGCCTCCAATCCTCACGAAACGGAAGGATTAGCCTAAAAGGGATGTATTAAATCACAGGACAGGAAAGACATTTGACAAAGTACTTCCACCCCTAGTACACAAGTTCCCACTGGACCGCTCCCCTCTGCAATGACTGCCAAAAGCGGTCACTGGACAGATCTTCAATCTCTCCAGTTCGCGGATTCTCCCACACTCCTCAGCTCCACCTCCGCATGGCCGTGGAGGGGGGGGGAGGGGAGGGACACAGCACTCCTCTGTCCAGCTGTTCCCATCTTTCTTCTCTGGACGCTGATCAGCTGCACTTAATGGACACGAGCTCCGGGCTCTGCAGGGTCTTGCCGTTCCCACCCCAGTGTCACGGAGATCAGCCGGGCTACGCTTCTGATACGTCCGATGTTACTTGTTTCAGCTCTGAAGGAGAAAGACGCACTGGGCTCTGGGTACTGCACAGCAGGGACCCAGCCCTGGTGGTCAGTGAGGGGCAGGCACGGAGCCCGACAGCCCTCCTGGCGTGGGCGCGGAGCAGACCGAGGCAGCAGTGCCCGTTACAGAAGACCCCCGGCCGCAGATCTCGGGACAGCAGGCTGGCGCTGTGCTGGTCTGCTCTGCCCACCCTGGACGGGACGGGATCCAGTCAAGAGAAGGTCCGACGGGATTCGTCTTGATTTCAGCCTTTGCATCAACGAAAGCTGAACTCTCCAATAAGGATGCGCAGGCTTTTGACAGTTCCAGGGAAATCGCTTCATCTGAAAAAGCCCAACCCCTGTATCTCTGACCGCTGCAGCTGCTACAGGCTTGCATCAGACCAGCAGCAGACAGAGAGGAAACCTGCCCCTTGTTTCACCCCTGATCTCCAGCAGATCGCTGGCCTCATGCAGGTTCTGTGTGCTTGATTTTAGCAGTTCTCTCACCGTGTTCAGCGCTACAGGTACCAAGGAAAGAAAAAGAGAAGCACATACTCTTCTCCTCTTCCTCCTCCAGTTACCCGAGCCCCTGGAGCAGGATGTCGGAGGAGCCTTCGGAAAAGGAGGGATTGGTCCGAGAGAAGGCTTTTCGGGGGACAGCGCACCCCTGAAATCGGCCCCCTTCTTCCAGCGACCCCAGGGACCCCGTTCCACACAGGAGCCCCGGGGGCTCAAGGAGTTCTCCCCCTGCGCCTCGACAGCCCCGCGCCCCCGTGCTAGACTGCTCTCTCAGCCCCAACAGCTTCACACCCTCCATCTCGGCCGGGACCACAGGGGAAGCAACACCTGAAGCCCCCCTGGGGGAGGCCGGGGGTCACCGCAGCCCGGCCCCCCCACACACGCACACACAGCCCAGCACGATCGCTGCAGCTGCTGAGTCGGAGTCCTGAAACACAGCTGAACGCCGGTTAAGACACGGGAGGACTCAGACCAGCCCGGATTTTAAAACCTGACCTTTCCGGTTCGGGCTGTGACACTCCGATTGAAACCCCCGAGTGTGGCGGAGCAGCGGCTCTGTGGCTCAGGAACCGCGCCTGTGGCTGGAAGGTTGCCGGTTCAAATCCCATGGCCGGCAGAGGATTGGGCCCCTGAGCAAGGCCCTTAAC